GTATTCAGATATTTCTGTTTTGTCTACATCAGTTTCTGCCCTTAAGCAACCAAAATACATGCATCTATTCTATCTACCGCATCTTCTTGACCACATCTCACTGCATGACTTGATTCTACACCAAAATTCTTGTAGATCAAGCTTTTCTAACTCTATCATTTATCTTATGGATTATAACAGGCAAGCATAACCCCACTCCCTCTCAACCATAAAAGCGTACTACACTCAACGAATAAAGTCTCATTTTACGTACGTCCCTCTGACTGTAGCCTTCAGTTCTTTTTGAGATTTTAGTAAAATATTCTTCTACCCGGACTATCTTTGGTAAATTATATTTATATACATATATTCGATATAAATGAAGATCGGAATTTAGTATGATTGTAAAAATTATCGTGCGATCAAGTAAGAATGACTGGCATGAAAACATTCTTTGTTAACATAAACAGTAAAATCCAAAGCAAAATGCTGGAAAGTCTAATGATAAAGTATTTGAAAAGTTTTAATACATAAGAGATAAGATCGTGAAAAGAATTCAATGTAGGTATGTTAATTGGCGAAAAAGCCATGTATTTGTTAATGCTTCTTTTGTCAAATGATTATAGAACTCCGATTTTCAAATTTGCGCGTTTGTAGAATTTTAAGACATACGAAACAAGGCGTATCCCTTATTAATGGTTTAAGCAATATATAGTTGGTAATTTGAATTACATGGTCTTTCAGTTAAATTGATCTTGCTGCTATAAGCAAGAATTAATGTTTTCTTCTGGAGTACGTTCGTTAGAAAAACGTAAGAACTGCAAGTTTACGATTTTTAGTGTTGTAAGAATTTATTGAAAGGATAACTGATACGGATCTAACAACAAAGGTTAATCATAAAAAATAAAATTACATAGCAAAATGCTTGAAAGTCTGGGTGATACGATATTTGAATTGCATGGTACTTGAATTTACACTCATTAAAATGTAAAAAAAGATTGCACGTAGATCGTATGAAGACTTAGGAAAACAACATACCATGTTTAATCGAAACTTGCTCGAGAAATTAAAATCACAAATTTACATCAATTTTATGCCCTGTTAAATGTGAAGACTTTAAAGTAAACAATCGCGTGAGGACCGAGAAGAACAACGCAAATCACATAATGCTCCATTAAAATAGATTAAGATGTGTATAGAAACTTTCAGTTCTATACAACGAATATAGTCTGCTTACAGATATAAAATTCATTGCTTCAAAGTTCAAACTAAACATCCTTTTGACATGTCAAAACAGACCAGAGCATAATTGACTAATATTAATGTTATTAAGCACTCTGCATGAGGCTCTTCAAGATATATTACATATCAATTGGAGTTTTAATTCAGTGACGTGTACTTAGTTGTATGAGTGGGAGGTTCTTCCAAGAACTCATTAATGTTAATGTAAGGGTTGTTAAAGGAAGAACTTAAATGGATCTTTAGTATTTGCTTGTAGACCAAAATAAACTAATGCTATCATAAGGTATGAGTTACAGTCTTATAATTCTTTGTTTTTACATACATGACGTTAGGATAACTGTAAAAATTAAGAATGATGGTCGAGTTGCTTCACCGTTTTAATCACTTGTCTTCTTTTGACTGTATTAGGACTTGAAAGCTTTGGCAAAATCCTTTGTAAAACAAGATCATATGAGTAAAGTCCAATGACTGAATTCTAAAATTCCAAAACGAGGGCTCTTTTGTTGGCAAATTGGTTTCAACCAGCCTTAAAAACCGACATATTAAAGGTGAATTTCTATATAAGCATTACAAGTTTAGTAATGCGTTTCAAAGATCTAGGACTAAACTGAGTAAATCACAAGGTATTACAAAATTTTTCTTTCAAACGAAAGTTGTTTGATGGTTGCTACTGCATATGTAGCTAAGCTAGTTTGAAAAGTATAATTGTCGAGGGATAAGATCGCAGAGATAAGATCGCGAAAAGAATTCAATGTAGTAATGTTAATTAGTGAAGAACCTTTATATTTATCAAAGCTTGTTTTGTCAACTAATTAGAACACCGATTTTTGAATTTACTTGTTTGTAGAATTTTAAGGCATAGAAAGCAAGGCGTATCTCTTGTTAATAGAAGTAATATATAGTTGGAAATTAGAATTATATTATTGGGCGTATACTTGGAATTTGATCAACGTTTTTCACTTTCACTTTAAAATATTTAATTGTGCAAAAATACAAACTTGTCTATATTTGAATTACATGGTCTTTCAGTTAGGCTGATCTTGCTGCTATAAGCTGGTATTAATGTTTTCTTTTGATGTTCGTTCTTTGGAAAAAAGGAAGAAATGCAGATTTACGATTTTTTGTGTTGTTTCTGTAAGAATTTATTGAAAGGATAACTGATACGGATCTAACAACAAAGATTAATCATAAACTGTAAAATTACATAGCAAAATGGTGCAAAGTCTGGGTGATACGATATTTGAGTTGCATGGTACTTGAATTTACATTCATCAAAATGTAAAAAAAATGTTGCACATAGATCGTATAAAGATTAAGGAAAACAAAATATAATGTTTAATCGAAACTTGCTCGAGAAATTAAAATAACAAATTTACATAAATTTTATGCGCTGTTAAATGTGAAGACTTTAAAGTAAACCGCCAAAACAATCGGGTAAGGACTGAGAAGAACAACGCGAATCACATAAGGCTCCATTGAAATAGATAAAGACGTGTATAGAAACTTTCAGTTCTATACAACAAATATAGTCTGCTTACAGATAAAATTCATTGCTTCAAAGTTCAAACTAAACATCCTTTTGACATGTCAAAACATAACAGAGCATAATTGACTAATATTAATGTTATTAAGCACTCTGCATGAGGCTCTTCAAATATTATAATTCAGTGACGTGTACTGTTGTATGAGTGGGAGGTTCTTCCAAGAACTCATTAATGTTAATGTAAAGGTTGTTAAAGGAAGAACTTAAATGGATCTTTAGTATTTGCTTGTAGACCAAAATAAACTAATGCTATCATAAGGTATGAGTTACAGTCTTATAATTCTTTGTTTTTACATACATGACGTTAGGATAACTGTAAAAATTAAGAATGATGGTCGAGTTGCTTCACCGTTTTAATCACTTGTCTTCTTTTGACTGTATTAGGACTTGAAAGCTTTGGCAAAATCCTTTGTAAAACAAGATCATATGAGTAAAGTCCAATGACTGAATTCTAAAATTCCAAAACGAGGGCTCTTTTGTTGGCAAATTGGTTTCAACCAGCCTTAAAAACCGACGTATTAAAGGTGAATTTCTATATAAGCTTTACAAGTTTAGTAATGCGTTTCAAAGATCTAGGACTAAACTGAGTAAATCACAAGGTATTACAAAATTTTTCTTTCAAACGAAAGTTGTTTGATGGTTGCTACTGCATATGTAGCTAAGCTAGTTTGAAAAGTATAATTGTCGAGGGATAAGATCGCAGAGATAAGATCGCGAAAAGAATTCAATGTAGTAATGTTAATTGGGGAAGAACCTATATATTTATCAAAGCTTGTTTTGTCAACTAATTAGAACACCGATTTTTGAATTTACTTGTTTGTAGAATTTTAAGGCATAGAAAGCAAGGCGTATCTCTTGTTAATAGAAGTAATATATAGTTGGAAATTAGAATTATATTATTGGGCGTATACTTGGAATTTGATCAAAGTTTTTCACTTTCACTTTAAAATATTTAATTGTTTAAAAATACAAACTTGTCTACATTTGAATTACATGGTCTTTCAGTTAAATTGATCTTGCTGTTATAAGTAAGAATTAAAGTTTCATTACGGAGTACGATCATTAACTACAAGTAAGAACTGCAGATTTACGATTTTTAGTGTTGTTTCTATAAGAAATAATTGAAAGAATAACTGATACGGATCTAACAACAAGATTAAACATAAACAGTAAAATTACATGGCAAAATGGTGCAAAGTCGAAAGTCGAGCTTGAAAAATTAAAACAACAAATTTACGTCGATTTAATGCTCTGTTGATTGTCAAGACTTTAAAGTAAACCGCCAGATATAATACTTCTAGCAGAAATATTAAAGACGTTCACAGAAAGTTTCAATTCTATACAGCAAATATAGTCTGACTGCAGAAATAAAATTCATTACTTCAAATTTAGCCACCCACATAATCTTTTCGACATGTCGAACACACCGTGAGCATAATTGACAAATCTTAATGGTATCTTGTAAGCACTCTGCATGAGCAGAGTATTATCAATAGTTGTTGTAATTCGGTGACGTGTACTTGAAAGCTTAAGAAAGGATCCTTTGGTAAACAATGTCTTTAAGAGTAGAGACCAATGACTATATAGATTTTAAAGATAGGATGTTTTGCACTGACAAATTGATTTCAGCAGATCTTAAAAACCGAACTATGGAAAGAGTATTTCTGTTTTAGCATTGCAAATTTGTTTCATTTTGTTTTACTTAAAATTGTCTGCTTGTCCTGGTTATTAATATATTTGCGAAACAGGGCGCATCCCTAAATAATATAGTTGGTGAGTTGAATTGCATATTAATCGTAAAAGGGTGGCTTTCAACAATATATGAAATATAAATGAGGTGCTTTTCCAATGAGTCATTAATAAGGTCGTATCTCACTACTATACTATTGTTGCTATAATACATATTTTTTCAATATATATTTTGCTGTTTTCATATTTTGTACTTCGGTTGTTATTATTAAAACTTTTGAGTTAAATGCCTCTCTTTAAGAAATGCCTCACTTTAATAATCGCAATCGCGTCCCTTTCGAAGTATGTTTTTAAATAAATCCGGTATGTCGAATGCCTCATGAAATTTTCATATCACTTGAAATTTTGCAATCTGAGTTAGTTCCAATAGACTGTATAGGATTGAAACTCAGCAAAAAAATGCAACTGATAGTTTTATACGAGAACTTTAAAATGAATTATTGCATCAAAATTTTTTGTCTTTGTAGTTCATGTATATTCAAATGAACAATGGAAAAACAACATTATGATAAGTTCACAGATCATAGCGTGAAAGAAGATGATGCGTCTAGACGACAACACGGAGTTAATCAGGACGACGACACAGAGCTTAGAAAAAGTATGTAGTTGCGTGTAATATGCAGCAGTTGCTGTTTCTTTATGAATAATGTGGTCTAGTATTATTACAATACTTGTTAAATAATTGTTTTATATTATTCACGTATTACTGTTCTTTGCTTTGATTGAAGAAAATATTAATTGTTTATATGAGCAAGAGCACAGTAACCTTTATTGACTCCAGTCTTTTAGTTGTGACATGAAATTTTACATGTTTGTAATTTTAGATCGTCCGGTTTGTCCTTTTTTAACGTTCAAGTTTTCTGATTCAAATTTATTGGATATGCCGTAACTCAAACGTTAATTTAGAAAGGGGGGGAGCGGTATACTTGTAGCTATTTGTGCCGGACTGATTACTTTTATATTCAAATTTTCTCAAAGAAATTAATCTCATTGTAACAAATTTAAAGCTTATAACACATTATCATATATACTAAGGATGGCATCATAAGATGTTGAACATGTCTAAATATTTTATTAAAAATATGTAGTGTTCATGAAATATGCATTGACAATACTGCTTTACACTCATATGTAAGAGTATAAAGCAAAAAGAGGAAGATCGTTGCAACTTTGCGCATATGTAATTTTTGATTATTTGTACGGAGAGCCTGATTGCGTCAACATTTACGGAATAATTGATGAATGCTGGTTGATATTCAAAGTAAATGTCAATGGCGTAGATAGACTCGACAATTTGAGAAAGAGGCTTATATTCATTGATTTTATAGATATTTCATAAATCATATAACATTCATATATGAAAATTGCCCCCCCCCCTAATCTAACAGTAATGAAATTGGCTACACCATTTAAACTGTTGCAAGTTAAGTAAATCAGAGATATTGATCTTATTGGTTTGCCGTAAAACAAATTGCTTTGATGATATGAACCTAACATTGATGACGCCCTTCATTTTTGCAATGTTGTTTTATTTATTTTATTTCAATTTAGGTGTTAAAACACATCTTTCTTTTTTGGAAAGTGATGCACCAACCAATGAACCGGGCACACCTTCCCAAAGTTTCAAATACAAGGCAAAATTTACCGTAAAAAACGCACGCACTTTGGATATACAAACGTTTACTGAAGATAAACTGACCTCACATGACCAAATTCCAAACTATATTCTTCAAATGTTAATGATGGCCAACTACCACGTGCGTGAATTTACTTTGAAAGGAATCAACCCAATGGATGCTTTGTTAGGAATTTTCCATGGTTCAGACAATTTCTTACGACAATATATAGCTGTTAAACTTAGCGAATGTCAGCTTAGCGTTCCTTTTATTTTACCTGATCCTGGCGATCCAGGGGTGAAGCAAACTATCTTGCTTTCAGCGTTGGGAAAAATAACAAAGTCATGGAGAGGTGCTTCAATCAACGACTCGGCAAAAGAGGTGTACGCAACAGAACACCCCTTTCCCATAGTGTCATTTATCCGGCTGGGTAATGTGACCATGTCCAAATCGTCTCTGATGAATAAAATTATCAGTGATGGTAATGTAGATCATGAATTCTTTTTTCATAAAAACATGGAAGGGGGAGATTTTGTAAGAGGAGTCGTTGATGGTTTGGTTGAACTTGTATGGTATCTTCCGGGAGGATGTGGCAAGAACACGTTAAAAAATGAAATCTGTTTTGCCAATCTACGTGGAGATGCCCAAAATTTTAAGAAGCAAGTTAATATACTTTGTGAAATATCAAACATTTTGTGCATTTTGCTGCCCTCGGAAATGCCTGACAAACGTGTGGGAAATTTTTTGGAAAAGGCTATGTCGTCCAAAAGTAAAATTATCCTCATTTTTAATGAAAACACACGAGAAGAAGTAAAAAAATACTACGACAGCGTGATTGATCAACATTCAACAAAATTATATTCCATCACTAAATCATTAATGGCATCCGATTACAGATTTTTGAAATGTATTCGTCAGGCAATCCAGAGCAACATAAAAGAAACAGAAGTGAAATCTTTGGAAAAGGTGAGGTTACTATTACAGGAAAGTGGAGTTTATATTGATGATGACCAAGCCAACGTTGAGTGGGACAAAATTTTCAAAACTTGGCTTTCTTTTGGGATTGAAGAAACAAAAAAGTGGTTCAAGCTTCAACTTCATATACCTGTTCTGGCGGATTTGGAAAGAAAGAAACATAATCCAAAGTTTCGTCCCAACAATGAAAACACGAGAGGAGAAAACGATGTAAATGAACCATATGAAGATATAAGAAAAGAAAAGAAGGCTCAGATGGAATCGTTTCAGAAGATGGATACAGAAATTCGTCTACTCCTGAATTCGATTGCTGTGATGGATGAAGGAATGCTGAACAGAAATTTGCAACGATTGAAGTATTTATTTGATAGGGCTTCTCTATCTGCGATGGCAAAGTTGCATCAACAATATCGTTTAAAGCTACAAGAAACACAAAATGACATGCTTGATTCACAATCTCACGAAGAAAATCGTTTGAAAGATGTAGAAGCATTGATATCATACTCTATATTTAGTTTGGAGCATATCGTTAGAGAGCTTGCTCAACTTCATCAACTCTCCGATTTTGTAATGAATAATTATGCCAGTGTTGGTGCGAAGATTCTTCTTTCAGGTCATCCTTTGGAATTACTAGATGGTGATTCAGGTTATCTACCTTTAACATGGTTTGATGCTGTTTATAAGGAAGTGGAACGCGAAACAAATAACGCTAGAATCTGCGTGATTTCTGTGTTAGGTATTCAAAATTCTGGTAAGTCGGCAATGTTGAATGCAATGTTTGGCTTGGAATTTCCTTTAAGTGGGAGAAAGTGCACTCGTGGCGCTTTTGTTTGTCTAGTTCCACTTAGTGATCGACTTAAATCGGAATCAAACTTTGATTTCTTATTGATCATCGATACTGAAGGACTGAGAAGATGGGTTGAACCAACAGTGGGAGAACATTCCATTGAATTGGCAACTTTTGTTATTGGTGTGGCTGATGTCACGATCGTCAATATCTTTGGTGAAAAACATAATGAAATAATAGAATTTTTAAACATGGTTGTTCGCGCTTTTTTGAAAATGAAGCTGTTGAAAGAGAAAAAAAATTGCAAAATCCTTTATCATAATGTTTATGCTACCAATACCGATGAGAGTTTTACAGCGAATTGGCAAAATTTAAAGCATGATCTAGACAACATGGCAAAGCTTGTAGCTGTACAAGAAAACTGTGAAGATCAGTATCAAAAGTTGGACGACATCATTGCATTTGACGAAAACAAAGACATGTTTTACATACCAAATTTATTGAAAGGAAGTCCTCCTATGGCTCCAGTGAATCCAAATTATGGTATTGCTGTGCAGAAAGTAAAGGAGAGTATAATTGAGTTAATGTGCTCAGAAAAACTGATCAAACTTACTGTTTCTTCGTTTTGTTAACGAGTTAAAAGTTTTTGGAAAGCCATACTGAAGGGAAATTTTAGCTTTAGTGCTCGAAATATTTTCCAAGTGAAAGCCAATATATCAAGGGAGAAAAACTATTTTGAAAAATCAGTTAAACTAATCGTAAACGGAATGGCTGAAGTTGAACAAGAAATCCAAAGAGAATTACGAAGATGTACAACACGAGAGGAACGTGATACATGTTGGAAGAAAAGTAAAAAATATATTGTGGACACGGCTGAAGAACTCAAGACAAAAATGGAAGATGAAGTGCGAACAATTTCTTTTAATAATGAAGATGGATCAACAACTCTTGAACAATGGAAAAAAGACATGATTCATAAAATTTCTATGCAAAAACGAAGTCAAGAAATGTCTGTCATAGCATGTTGTGAGGCCACTTTTAACTATCTACAGCAGCGACAAGATGTTGAAGAGATGCAACAAAGTTATGAAAAGCAGCTTATGGAGAAAGCAGACTATTTAATGTCAGATCAAATTGCAAATGAGGAGGAAGAATCTAAAAAGATATTCGGTAAGTTCAAGCATTTGTCAGACATTTCACGAACATATTGCTATGTTCATAATAGCCGAAAATAAGACTTTTAAAAAAGCCATCATAATAATCAAATAAAGAAGGATAAAAGGTTTTTCATTAATAACGTTTCGTCTTTAACTTAAGTTATCTTCAGATAATTTGAGATAAATTATATACATCAGGTTTTATAAGTTTGAAAATTTGTAATCCAGGCATTGAATATATAAAAGATAAACGTTTCTCCGGATTTTTAAATGATTTTTATTGAGCTTTCGACTCGTTGCTTCGAGCCTTCATCAGAATGAGGATATATATTTACACGTGCTTTTAGCTTGGAGACGTTTAGAGCGTCTAATTCTCATTCTCATTCTCATTTAGAGCGTCTCATTCTGATGAAGACTCGAAGCAACGAGTCGAAAGCTCAATAAAAATCATTTAAAAATCCGGAGAAACGTTTATCTTTTATACATCAGGTTTTAAATACAAGCATATATTACAGGGTGTTAAATTACTTGTGAGGGGAGTAGGAAGTTTAGATGACGGAATTAAATGAGAAGGGCGGTATATTAAAGAAGGTGAAGGGGGATTGTGTTGCCTTGGGTGTTAAGAGAAGGTTTAAGTTTGGATATAAGAAGGCTTTCAAGAATCATAACGTCATAATTGTCGGAGGAGGAAGAGAGAATTGAGAAGTCATTAAAATCGGCATAGTGAAATTTATTTTTTACATGGGAAAGAATTGCAGATGGTGGTGAACATGAGGAAGGTTTTTCTGTTAAGGGAGAGACTCCCAAGTGTTCCGACACACCAGAATATTTCCTTTAACAGGGAAACCTTCCTTATGTCCAACACCATCTGCAACTCTTTCCCATACAAGAATTACATCCCACTCTGCCGATTTTAATGACTTCTCAATTCTCTCTTCCTCCTCCGACAATTATGACGTTATGATTCTTGAAAGCCTTCTTATATCCAAACTTAAACCCTCTCTTAACACCCAAGGCAACACAATCCCCCTTCACCTTTTTTAATATGCCGCCCTTCTCATTTCATTCCATCATCTAAATTTCCTACTCTCCTCACATGTAATTTAACACCCTGTAATTTATGCTTGTATTTAAAACCTCGTGTATATAATTTATCTCAAATTGTCTGAAGATGTCTTAAGTTAAAGACGAAACGTAATTATTAAAAACCTTTTATCCTTCTTTATTTTATTTTTGTGATGGCTTTTTTAAAAGTCTTATGTTGGGCTATTATGTTCATATTCAAAATTCGCTTTCCGCCTGGCAAATCTCTAGCCAACATATTGCTATGGTTTAAACAGCCAGTCTGTCCCACTTCAAAATGTTGTATTGCTAATGTAACAAGTATGAACGACTCTTGAACAAGTGTTAGATCTATTCATATTCGTACAATGTTTGATATTCATAAGAAATGTTCTTCACATGTGCCCATTGAAAAAACTAAATGTCATAAATACTTTGATAAAACCAAAGAAAAAGTAGTCGGGCTCAATATGAATAAAACTTAGCAAAATCTGACGAATTGACGTAACAGATTGTTTGAACAAAAACTTAAGACAGTTATGTTTTGTTTTTAGCTTGGAAATTATTTGAGGAAAGTGTAAATTTCACGAAAGATGAAGAACCTGCGAATGGTATGTAGATATATCTACGTATGAGAAATGACGTAAATATCAACGAGAAGGAAGACGATAAGGTGTTGAATTGACATGATAAAAAAAATTTCATAACTTTTAAGCAGAAGCTCAGCGCACCGATAAAGTTTGAAGATTGAAAAGTTGTTAAAATTTTTAACTTCAGTCTTGCAAAAACACGTCGGAAATTTCATTAGAGATGGGTAAAATATTTACTACGCCTGAGGCTATATACTTATAGCTCTCTTACGCCTATGACAAATAGAATTTCTATATGTCTGTAGTTAAAAGTCGCGTTATTCCATATCTGCAACACATATTCCCAATCATTCACTTTCAGAGACACTACCGGATGTAGTTTAAAATGGTTTAATTCAACTTTACTTCTTTTAACGCACTTTGAACAAATAGCCTCACGTATTTTAGCGATGAATCTCGTCCATTTTTGAGAAATTTCATTACAAAGCTGCGCAATTTTATCACTTATAGGTAGCATGTTTTATGGTTTATGCTAAAGTTTGTAAAAAACATTTCATTAAAACAACAATTTTTTAATAGCAAACATGTTTCGACATTAACATAATGCCATCTTTAGTACGAACGATAGTGTTACGAAATATGATACAGTATAGGAACATATGAATAAATTATTTACATTGAATGGGAGTGTGATCTATCTAAAGTAAGTACTTTGAATGACATGTTCCTATCCGTTGTACCATTTGAGATGGATTTCGCGTATAGTAAAAAAAGCAAAGTTATTTTAATTGATATTGTTGAAAAATTGTTGTTGAAATCGGCAAAAATATTGTTTTTCATGGAGAACATGATCAAAAAATTTGGATACCCTCAGTTTTCAAAAGCGTCCAGGGCCCCTGACTACAACGATTTAAAAACAACTCTCTACAAAAATAGATCTCGTTTTCAAAAACACTTATGTCATGAACGAATTAATTCAAAACCTTCAGTAAAGCTGATAGTATACGAGCAAGCTTCTGTTAGATTGGGAAAACTGTGAAATCTTGGCTTTCTGAGGGGATTTAAGAAGCAAAAAGGAGTTATTTGCATCAGCGAATAATAATTTTATTGCTTCCGCGCGTTATTTTGTAGTTTAAATTGTAGGAGATATGTTAATCAGGGAGAAACGAAGAGAGGGTAGGACACACTCTAAACATATACAAAAGTACTGGGGAAGTTTGTTACTATTTAGTTTATTTACTCAAAGCAGTCCGCGTGCTAAGGTCATGAAGTTCAAGGTTAATTGCAAACGCTGCAAGAGCAAACATGCTGTTTGCTACAGTTATTTGCATTTTGTTCAAATGCACATAGTGTGATTTACGTGCACAGGTGTTAGCCTCATTGGGTAATGCACAAAAAATCACTTGTCATTAAGCAAGTGGCTATCGTCAGGTGAAGTTTAACAAAAAATCCATTTGTTTATTTTTCGAGTTGGAAATATTTTATATCCCGAGACTCCACGGGAATATTTGTCTTTGGGCTGTACACACGGTTATGGCAAGCGTATACCCTGTTAAGAAATCAGAAATTCTCTTTCAATTCCAGGCGACCCTTCAAGACTTATAGCTTTTTGACTATTTTGTTTATGTTGTCTTTCATTTGTCTCTGTCCGGTTTTGTCAGTAACAGAGTATGGTTTTCATAGAATGTTTAAGATGCTTCGTCTGGTTTCAATAAACAGGGGGCTAGTCACCGTTTTTGTACGTTTGCCCATTTATATCGGCTCCCTTTTTTGTATGCCATTCATTAAAAACCGTGTTGTCCTAAATTGTGTAATTACTCCTTTCCTTTGTTTGCAATTGCATTTTATCGTTTCCTTGAAGCTTGTAGCTTCTCCTTTAGTTTCCATTTAGTATATCAGTGTAATGATGCTACTAGACCAAGCACCAGGATTCAACGCCGAGCACAGATATTGACACCATGGTCTCTGGGTCAACGAACCCGTACATGTTCTACACCTACGTCAGCAGAAAATGAGTTGTCAGCAATGCTCGAATCCTCAATTTCATCGTCAACTGCGACCAGTATGAACGATGCGACCATAGCGAAAATTGCCACAGCGTTGGCTCAAGCTGTGAAAGAAAGTTTGCAGACCTCTGCGACAGTAAACGACACAAGAAAAGTACCTATTAATAGTATGTAAAGATTTTGATTCAGTTTCGATTCTTATTGATGCTCAAGTAAGCTCAAAAATTAAAGCTAAGATCTGTGCAAACGAGTTTGTTGACTTCAGTTCTCTTCTTAGTTCAAGGGGCTCTGATAGTCGATGTCAACTCTCAGTAACTCAAAATGATGACTTCGTTCCCACTCTTTCTTTGGAACCTACTACAAAAGTTAAGCCCAACTAACATTGAAATGTGGACTTCTGCCTTTCAGATTTTTGTTGAGATATACACTAGTAAGTTTCCCCAGGATGCCTCCGCATTGATGAAGTATTTTGAGGTTGTTCGCGATTTAGCCGCGCGTGGTGCAAATTGGTAATTTCATGAACACAGTTTCGTTATATGCGCCAATCTTAGTTGCACGATATGCCTTGGAGGACAACTCATTTTGAGTTTTGGATCAGAGCGAAAAGTTTTAATTGTAATATCGTAAATCGGTCACGTCCAGGACAATCTCTGTCTTCTCCATCGGGCATCTTCGTTCAATTGGGTTTTTGTCAAGTCTTTCACAGAGGATTTAAATGTTCAGGTTGCTCTTACAAACATACTTGTTTTAAATATGGTTCGCAGCATCCAGCCAAAGGGTGTAAGTTTCGTCCCTCAGGCAAGTTTCACACGGCTGGAAAATCAGCAACAACTAAACAAGCTTCCAACCCCCGTAAGACTTAACTGTTTACTACCTTTGTTACAAGGATACAATGCTCAAAGCGTTTTAGAGTTATTTGAAGGCTTTACGCATGGTTTTCCTTTTCATTTTGAGGGTGTTTATAGCCCCTTTCGGGCGCACAATTTAGTTTTGGCGAATAAAAATCCGATTGTGTTCAGCGCTACGCTTGTAAAAGAAATTCCGGCAAGTGGAATTGGGGAGCCATTTCCAAACTTGCATGCATTACCTTTAGGTGTAGTGCCAAAAAAGGTTCAGGGCGAATTTCGGTTGATTCACCTTTCGGCATGGTGCGTCTATTAACGATGGTATTCCTTCTGCATATACAACAGTGTCTTATTCGCGAGTGGACAATGCCATTGCAATTATTAAACGCTCGGGGAAAGGCTGTTTTGGCCAAAGACTGATATGAAGAATGTATTTCGTATCATTCCCATACGTCCTCAGGATTGCCCTCTTTTGGGAATGTTTTGGCAAGGTAACTACTATTTTGATCG